AATGGGAAACCTTTGGACTGCTTTCATTCCATTAACTAGCTGGAGGGCAGGAAGACCATGCCTAGACAGGAGACAGATCCTATCTGCTTGCAGATACCACTGAAATCTGGAATGCCTGTTAATGGGAAACAACATGTGTGGGGCAAATCCATGAAGACTCCAAACAACTTTGTGATGACCCTGATGCTCAAGTCTTGAAGGACGCAGCAAAGACACAGAGGGAAAATGAAAAAGTTTGTTTTGAGGTGTTTTATGTAGTGGCCTCAGGAAGAAGCCCACCAAATGGTGGAACTATGGCCATAAAAGTAAGTTCGACCCTTGCAGCCAGCTAACTTTGCCTCTTCTTTCTTTCCCTGTCCCCTGCTTCCTGTCTCTCCAGTTTCTTGGGGCCATCACTTCTTTCTGCTGCAAGGTCCCTCCTTCCCATCTTTTGGTCCTAAGCATCTTTTTCCGCCACTGGAAGTATCCACTCTTCAGAGAAAGTGCTTCCCCTAAACCACTTGCTTATCTTCCCAGCTGACACCCATATACCCACCCTCATTCTTAACCTTTAGTTTCTAGGGCTAGGAGTACAGCAGTCTTTGCCCCCTCTCCTTAGAATGAGGTGTGCTGGTTATTGTTGTTATTTAGTCATTTAGTCGTGTCCGATTCTTCATGACCCCATGGACCAGAGCACACCAGGCACTCCTGTCTTCCACTGCCTCCCGCAGTTTGGTCAAACTCATGTTTGCAGCTTCGAGAACACTGTCCAGCCATCTCGTCCTCTGTCGTCCCCTTCTGCTTGTGCCCTCCATCTTTCCCAACATCAGGGTCTTTTCCAGGGAGTCTTCTTTTCTCATGAGGTGGCCAAAGTATTGGAGCCTCAGCTTCAGGATCTGTCCTTCCAGTGAGCACTCAGGGCTGATTTCCTTAAGAATGGATAGGTTTGATCTTCTTGCAGTCCATGGGACTCTCAAGAGTCTCCTCCAGCACTAGGGCTATGAGTATAGCAGTATTTGCCCCCTCTCCTTAGAATGAGGTGTGATGGTTATTAGACATGCAAATATGAAAGTGGAAAGTGGAGGAACCTGCTGATGTCACAAGGTAGTGTGTTCTTGCGGGGAAGGATCATTTGGGGCTCTCTTCCAGGTGGAGGTTTGCAGGCTCCCACAAAGTTTCTTACTACCTACTCTTCTTCAAGTTTCTGACTTTACCTCCCCACAACCCCATCGAAATGGTTCAAGAGGACAACGTGCACAAGCTGGTCATGGAGATCTAGGGACTTCAGTGGGCAGGGGGAAGCGGAGCTGGCATGGCAATGTCATAGATTAGTCTTATGTTCATTTGTTCATACAACATAAAATTGGGAAAGGGATCAAGAGTTGCAGCTTCACTAGAAAGTATGTGCCCCCTATTGATAAGGAAGTCATTTCATCTTCTTGTGCCTGTTTTATGTGGGTCCCATTTAGATTTGTAAATACTACCACCATATAGACAATGATAGCAGAGTGTCTTTTCCTCCTTCTTCTTATTGTTCATGTTTTTATTAAGTGTTTAAGATGCAAAATTCCAATAAGCCACGAATCAAAGCCAAGTGCTGGTGTATTCACAAATTTGCCCTGTCAGCTGATGTTCAAATGAAGAATTTGTGAAGGTAAAGAAAGATGGGAGATTAGAACATATTTAACACTTCAAAGTAAGAGTATCTTTCCAAAATAAGGAATGTGAGGGGGGAGCCCAAGGGTGCCTTTGTTTACATTGGAGAGAAACAGAAACCGTGCCTCTATGACAAAATCCTTCTTTGTGACACAGCTAACCAGTTTGCTATGGTGAGTTAGTTTATTAGCCAAAGCAATTTGCCAGATTCTCCCAAACTATCCTTGGCTAGAATTTGAAGTGAGCAACAAACATCAGTTTTAAAGGATAATAAAATCCAGCATATGTAAAAACTGGCTGAACACTCAAGTCCAACAACAACAGAACAGCTAATATGAATTTCATACTGTAGAACAGTGCATTTTTATTATACAAAAGGACAGGCCTAATAACTTTCATCAGGAAGCAGTAAAAAAATCAGACTCACCAAGATGGTTCCTCTTGCAGGAAGTATTGCTTGGTTACAAAAAAGCGAGGTTATTTTTGATTGCCCTAGATGAAGAGAGATTCCCAGACTGTGCTGATGCATTAAACAGGACAAAAAATATTCCATTTGCACCAGTGCCTCTTGCTAGTTTTCCTTTACATGGATCCCAGTTACTCACAATGTTTATTGCTGTAAATAATGTTAGGTGATTTGCTAGTGTATATATGTACCAGTTGTGATGTCTCACCAAAAGTCATGGATTATTGCAGGAAGCTGAAATCTATAAAAGATTTAGCAATAGTTTCTGCAGGCTACAGATGACAACCTTTCAGCACATGACTCGACTACCACAGGTATGGTGCTATTGTCCAGTGTGAAATTCAGGCTGATGCACTGTTTTTGTCTGATTTCAGTTTTCAGCCTAACTAGCAAATGGTTTTAGGACATGATCTCTTCTTCCTGCAAAGCATACTCTTCCTCCTTGTTAGACATGTGTGTGTGTGTGTGTGTGTGTGTGTGTGTGTGTGTGTGAGAGAGAGAGAGAGAGAGAGAGAGAGAGAGAGAGAGGGGTGGGGATTCAATGGGTGGAGGCTGCCAGGGCTGGGTGGAAGGACATCTCTGCCTAATCCATTTCCCCTCTCCCTACCCAGCACAAATGGGGTTTGGTCTGCAGCCCCCTTTTGTATAAACATGCTTAGGATATTGCCAATGGGGACAGACACTGTAGGATTTTCATAGGGGTTGAAGTATCCTGTGGAATCACTGTTTTAGTTCCATTTCTGACTTCATATAGAAGAGCAATAAAACCTGGGCTGTACTAAAGTAGATAGTCCTAGAGAAGGGTTTTTTTGGTACTTTTTAAGGGGTTCTGGTACTTTTTTATTTAAAAAAATGACATCATTAAATCATACACACATCTATACATAACAGCAAAATAGAGGCATGCAATAAATGCATTATAATTATAATTAACATATTACTACATAGGAAAACTATCATATTCATCCATATTTATGTTATATTTATTCTTCATAAATTTAGAAAACAGTTTCCATTTATTTTTACATTTTTCTCTTTCTTGTCTGCTTTCTCTCACTGTAATCAGTTGAGTAAGCTTATGCACCATTGCTGCCATGCAAATTTTATTTTAACCATTCCTTTAATTTTGGTGGTGACCTGTTTTCCCTTTTTGGTGCAACAAGCATGCAAGCAGCTACAATTATATTCCATATTAACCCCAGTGGCAAAGTGAAAGCTGTAGTTAATGTTATTATATTTACTATCCTCCCCCAAAAGTTTTAAATTATTGGACAAGTCCACCAAATATGTTCCATATCTGCCCTCAGATGTCCACATCTCCAACACTTTCCACCACAGATAGTATAAATTTTGCTAATTCTGTCTGGGGTCATATACCACTGAAATAGCAATTTGTAATGATTTTCTCTCATGTTAGCAGAAAGAGAGTGTGCTGTTTCCTGAGTAAAAACAAAACAAAATCCAATTCTTGTTCAAAAATTGGTCAACCCACATTTTCCCTTAAGGTTTCTACCCAAATGTGCTTTAAAAGTATTCAGAAAAAAAACATATATTTTAGAAATAGCCCCCTTCAGATTTTCCTTCTTATAAATTATTTTCTCACAACTTGACAGTATTCTCACCATATTATTTTTGGTTATATTTCTTCTTATTGTTATCCCAACCATTGTTCTGCAATGACCATTATTTACAATTTCTTTATATGTAATTGCATCATTGATCCAGTTAGATAAATTAGGGTTTTTGGTACTTTTTTAAAATGTTGCAAAGCTTGACCAGTCAAGAAAAATCAATTTCTTAAAACAGGATGGGGGCTGGGATTCTAAATGTGACTTTAAAAAACAAAACAAAGCCTTGACATTTATTTTGCTGTAATGTAGAAATCTCTCACATGTTTGCAGTTTGGGCAGATTATTAACTCCCATTTTATCTAGAGATTGGGGAACATGTAAGGCAATAATTGTACTATCCACATGAAGAAAATGAAGGCCTAGTGATATAGAAACAGATCCACAGTGGCCTTTATCTGCCATAATCAGAGAAACGTCAGCTGGAAAGCGTGAGGGGAATGCGGTTTACACAGGAGACGCCGCCTGTGTAGGGTTTCAGTTCTGGTTAATGACACTGTGAATCAAGCCTGTCATCTTTTCAAATGATTTTTCTTTCAGCGTAGGCTTAAGAAAACAACCACCATCACCTTCCCAACATGAGATTCCACAGGAACCAAACTTCTTCCCCACCTCTCAGCTCTTTTCAATATAAGGAGAGAGACATTGTGACTAGGCTCGAACCATTAGGAACAGGACAGGTTTTACCATTTTCATTACATGACTTTAACAGCTGGAAATAATAATAATAATAATAATAATAATAATAATAGCACTGCAGTACAAATACCACTCCTCAACTGTGCATGAAGTCAGTGGAAGACAAGATGGGCTTCTGGCAATGACTTCTCTTCAGAATTGTTCTAAGGGCAACAGATCCATCCTGAATTGAGAGAGGCAATCCCTAACAATTTATATTTCAACCAGGATTTTCCATACAGGATTAATGGGTAGTTCCACATGGCATTTTACTGTGGACCATGCTGATCATTTGTATAGTACCCATATAATGTCATGTTCATCCAAACGCCATCCCATATTATTTTCCTATTTAATCCAAATTTACTGTTTCTACAGAAAATCCAACATAAACTATACATTCAGATTAAATGGTGGTGGTCTGGATATGGGATGGCATTTTGATTAAAACATGTGGATGCTGCAAAAAAAACTTACACGCCCAGGGAGCACAGAGTCTGCAAAGATTGCCACATGGAAGCACACAGTGAATCAGTGTGCACATTCTAAGCAATCCTTATTTCACAGGAATGTACTTTTTTCAGACCAAATGCTTATTTCCAAGCACAGCTGGTAGAGCATGAGACTCTTAATCTCACAGTCGTGGGTTTGAGCCCCAAGTTGGGTAAAAGATTCCTTCATTGTAGAGGGACTACATGACTCTCATGGCCCCTTCCAACTCTACAATTCTATGCTTCTATGATTTAGGTAGTTCCATTAAAGACCACTACCCATCCTTTCATAGCATGTTATTTTAAAATGTTGATCTGTCACCCTAAATTATTATACTTTCTCCACTTCCTGGGGAAATCATTTCCTGGCTGGCTGTTCCTTTCCACTTGCAAAAACTGGATTGAATCTTGCATTTGATGAAGAGCTCATATGAATCAGTGGTCATTAAACTTTCTGGATCTGGGATCCACCTTTAACTCCAGTCTTAACAATGGACCCACTTTTATTTTAATTTTTTTAAAATAATTCTGTTTCTTGCCTCACAACAGTCAGGGTTTCATGAGCAAACAACTAGTGGTACCAATTTTAGATTTTCATCTTTCCACTTCCTCAAACTTACTATGCATAGATTTCTTTTCTTTTCTTATTTCCACATTAATTTTTTTCTTGCAATCAGTAGCAAAGTGCAAAAAAAAAAAAGGGAGAGGTTTGTGATTCAGATGATATACAGTGGTACCTTGGTTTGCATACGTCTTGGTTTGCATACGTTTTGGATTACAAACACGTCAAACCCGGAAGTGCGTGTCCCTTTTTTTATTATTATTACAACCAATTTTTTGGGATTACGAACAAATTTTTTTGGAGGCCCCATTGGCGAAAGCGCGCCTTGGGTTACAACCTGTTTTGGTTTACAAACAGGCCTCCGGAATGGATTATGGTTGTAAACCAAGGTACCACTGTACTTGATATGTGCTACTGCTCAGTGTAATCCAGGCAGTTAAATGCAAACATCTAACAACAGACAGTACAAAATGGTTATATGTTAATTGGCTTTAAGTACTAAAACCCATACATACATAGCCTTCTCAGTGGTGGTGTCTCGGAAATGCTCTCCTTAAAGATGCTCACTTGATGCCCATGATAGGAGTGGGTTATTTTTTTATGCCTCATGAAGACCTTTATCACCTCTTATGCTTTTAAAAGTCCATGGATGCTAGTCAATTAAGTTTTACTCAGAGCAGACCTATTAAAATTAATGCACCGAACATAAGCTGCAATCCTAACCAGGTCTACTCAGAAGCACTGCACTCTTCAGCACTGGGTAAGGAACACTTCTGTTCAGGCAAGCCTATTCAGACATGTAGACACCACTATGTGTTTTAATCTTTTAAAAAGCTTTTTATATATTCTTATACAGTACATTCTTTGCATCTTTTAAAAAAATGTTTTAAACTCTGTCTTAAAGTTAATTTTATTTTTTTGTAAACTGCTTAAGAGATTCTATTTATCCCACATGGGAAATAGGGAAAAGATTTGCCTCCCTCCCTTCAGTTGTGTGAAGTCTTCCTGCCCCAGCCAGAGGTCAGCAGGGCTAAGCTATGGTCAGGACCCTGAACTGTTAAGGGACCTTGCCACCAAGAGTCAATACCATGAAAGTAACCCCTCCTCATGGCATCCAGCCAAACTGGAGTCCACTCACATTATCTCTGACCTGGCCAGTGCCAAACTAGACCTGGTGTTAAGTGCATTAAAACAATTTACATACATACATATATACATAATACATACATGTATCCCTAATCAGTGGAATTCAGTTCTTTCTCCCCCAGGCACAATCCAGACATCCCCACCCCAGGGAAAAAAAACCTCTCTGGAGCTGTTACGTACGTCTCAAGGGAAACTCCCAGTGATGAGAACAGGGTCCAGAAGTCTCTTGTAAAAGTGAAGGGGTCTCTGAGCTGTGATCTTTGTTCTAGCCATGGAGAGGTGATGTTTTGTCCCCAACCATGCTAAGCCTTGTGTGAAATATGAGAGTGCCTGTGGTGGTGCTGGGTGCTCTGGTGCATTTGGTTAGTTTGCACACCTCTCATCAACCAAATCTTGGTCCTCCATCACATGACTGCTACGGAGCCCTGCTAGATCAAAACTCCTGAAGGCCCTCAGCAGTGGAGCTGAGTCTGCCTTCTCCGTTTAAAACTCTGAGCTGTCCACCCACTAACATATATTCCATTTTCTTTCCAGATATCTGGGGGCAGGGGGAAGGAACACCCTGGCTTTTGATATTTAATCAAGATGACCTTATTGGCTTTTCTTTTACCAAAGCAACTAGGTTTGGGACACTTGTGCTGCTAGAGTTTGACAGACAAAAAGAAACAGGGGAGAGTGACAGATAACAGTGTCGTGTTAGCTGCCTTATTGTGATGTCTATTTGTACTGTACTGTCATGACTGTAATGTGTTTCAGATCATGTTTTTCAGAGACACATTCCAGACTAACGTCCAAGATGCTGGATTTGTAGTGGTAACTGGCAAAGGCAAACTTTATTTCTGAGTGACTGGATGAACTCCTTCAGACCACCAGCCATTCTCGATGCATATCTTTTTAATTTCACTTTAAAACAAATGGGGGGGGGGGGGCGGAACCAGAGGTAGTGTTACAGAAGACTCTTCAAGCTAGGAACTTATCAGGCTTTTAAGAAACAACACAGGTACACCTACTATTATGCCACTATTGAAATCTGACTGTCCACTCTGATTCAGATCTATAGTTTGTGTGCATTTGTGTGTGCGTTTGTGTGTACATATGCAAGTGTATTCTACACAAACACACACATAGTCATGCACTAACCAGGGTTCTTCAGCTCGAATGGCTTTTGAACAGAAACCTTTTATGCCAATCCAAGATCTAGACAGATCCAGCAGCAGAAGAGCCAACTCTGGATCTTCCCACTTGATCATCCTGTAACAAAGTCCACACATCCTCAGCCCCACCTTGTCTCTTTCAAAGCCGTCAAAACAGAACAGGATGCGGTTTATTCACCTACCTCTAAGTTAACCAAAGTTGCTCTTATTTTCTTGCACAAATACCAGTTTGGCATTCAAGCAGTGAGGCCATCTAGAGGGGTGGGGAGCAGACACTCTCCATAGCCCATTTTAGGCCACAAATTACAGTACTAAAAGGCACCTATACCAGTTCTAGAGTCTAGCACCTGAGTGACTTTTATAAAAGCATTTCATCGGGATTGCAGGGTTGAGCTCCATAAGTAACTTCAGAAGCTGAAATTTCCAAGAGCCTTGGCATCCTACCAACCATGCCTGAAACCCTATAGGTTGAGGGTGCCCATGGCTAGCATTGTACTCAGAGGGTAGAGCATGAGACGCTTAACCACGTGGTCGAGGGTTCGAATCCCACACTGGACAAAAAGATCCTTGCATTGCAATGGTTGGACTGGATGCCCTTCATGGTCCCCCATGCTACTCTACAGTTCTATGACCATGTGTCTTTTCATGCGAAGTGCTAGGTGCAATCTTCCCGTAAGTCAGGGCCTCCTCCTCCCCGAGCTCGCAGCATAATGGAAACCAATTTGACATTATTTATGCCTCCAAAAATATGTAAGACCTTTAAGCCATTCCTCACGCTGAAGGCCCGTGATTTACGGGATGTTGCAGTGAGACGCTAATACAAAAGACAGGGGGAATAGTTTACGGGGCTGCAATGTAAACATCGCCGCCGCACAGCCCGCTTTTTTTTACGGAGCCCCTGCAATGGCGCGCGATCAGACAAGTGCCTGATTTACGGCCCTATTTAGATAACGGTGTCCGGAGAAGGGATTGGCGATGGCGTCAAGGTCGCAGGGCGTGCCAGGGCGGACGTTCCGCCGGACAGCAGCAGCAGCAGCTACGGAGACGCCGTAAACGGCGCCCAAGAATGCCGCCTCCGGCGCAAAAGCACCAACCAGCCCTTCCTTCGGGACACTCCGCTTACGGCTCTCGGCAGAGGCAGCCAACAGTGTCCCGCCGCTACCGGCCACGAGAGGCGCTGCTGAGAAGGAAAAGGAGAAGGCGATGAAGGGAGGGGAAAGCCCGGTCTCGGCGCTGGAGCCGGCGATTGGTCAAGGCGGGAATGGAGTTTCTCCCCCCAAGGCCAATCAAAAGCGACCTCGACAAGGTTCGAGGATGTCTATGGGCTCCTGCGCTTTTTCCTCGCTTTGGGCGGTCGATGGCGCAATCTGCCCAGGGGCTCTTCGAGTTTTCCTGTTGGGCGTGAGATTTAGGTCTTGCTTCACCCAGAACCAAACTCTCTAGCCGCTTAAGGGTCACCCCTGGCTCTGCATTCCTTTGTGTGACGGAGTGGCTCTCTTTTGAAAATGAATGGGAAATGAAGAGGCAGAAACGGGATATGGGTTGGGGTGTTGGAGCAAAAAAATATTTATATTTTTAGTGTCTGCCTGAGGGTCTTGAACAAAAGTGAAGGCTTCTACTAGGTGTACGACCGTGCAACTTAATCAACAATAAAACCCCCACTTCACTGCTGGGAGCAATCTTTACCATATCCATCAAGGGTGCCAACTTGAATAAAATATGGGGGGGGGGGAGGTAAGCCTCGCCCCCACATAAGCGATCACGCAGTGCACGCACACCATTCCAGTGGCAGTGTCCATTAACTTTGAGAGGGCCTTGACCCCTAAAATATTTTACTTGTGGGGCCAAAGTTCCCACTGCCCCTAGGAGTTGACTGCTATGCCTGGTAATGGCATGGGCACGTTGGTTCCTCACTTTAAGTCTCCTACAGCTCCCTAGATATGGATTGTATTCAGAACTGTGGTTTTCCTAGGAATCAGGTAGGCTAAAGTATGAAACTGCAGGTGAACTCCATACATGGGAGTATAATTACTGTACAAAAAGCCACATATAAAGCAGACTCTGTGTAAATTAATGCTGCTGGTCTATTCCACAAGGATCAAGTAGTAATGTGCAAGTACAAATGAGCCAGCGCAATTCTGTGTCACAGAAATAATTTGGATATTTGCTGCATAACACTGAAATGCCATGTTTACAATGGAGGCAGTGCACAAAGTCAGCTCCCAGTCACCATGTGTACAGTCCTCAAGTGCAAAGAAATCAAATGATGTCTATGCATGATTGACCCAGGCCAATGTTGTACTGAGAAGACACATG